ACAGTAAACAGTAGAGTGGAGTTGTGGTGTGAAGACCAGTTCGGTTCAAGCTACTGCTACTACTTCCTGACTACTTTCGGTCTTCATTCTCAAAGACTTGTGTCCTTGGAGTGATAGATCTACCGCTTACTGTTCACTAGGATACCCAAATCATAGAAGAGGCCGGTCACTGGACAGAAATACGAACAGGAAAGCGTGTAACACATAACATGGCGTCAGTTTGCAAAGAAAAAACAAATCAGTGGGCCTCCCACCCCCTCGCTGTAAAGTGCAGCAGTTACTAAGCCAAACTCTACAAATTATTTATGAGGTTTTGGTCAGATTTTATCAGCAATTTCCAAATTTTTTTAAACGGTAATCTGACCTTCAGTTTTGAGTATAAGAGATACGAGCCTGGTATGGCTGGAAATAATTGCCCGGTGGTGTTGCAAAGATGGCCACCGAGTGAACACTTTCTTGTAATGACTTTGCCAAAACCTATGGCTACAAAATCAACCAGGTGAATAATCACAGACTACAGAAGTGGATACTGTGGCATTTTAACAATAATATTCAAAAACAATTTAAAATCACATCTTTTCTGGAAGATTCAAATCTCACTGAGCGTGCTAGCGGAAATTAGCATTATGGCAGCAGCAGTCAACGCTATCACTGCTTGGCATATATGCTAGCACACTCCATTTCCATCCACATTTCAAAAATATGTTAGATTTCTGCATTGGTTGCGCAAAGTGCTGGACAGTAGTACAAGCTATACAAGTTTAAGTCTTTTTTGCAAAGTAGACCAGTACACACCAGTTTTCTAGCTTGAGCACGAATGCTGAATGTCCAAGATAGTTAGTAGTTGTGGTTGTGTTGTCACTTGCAAAGCATGTGGGTGTTTAGTTACGTCTGAGAGATCAAACTCATCTACAGGTTGAACTCACCTACACCGGCTTGTTCTTCTTGGACTAAACTTCCCCTCTTAAAACTTCAGCCAACACTGTTCATTATGAAAGCTGTAACTATACATTCTTTTATTTATGCCATCTAATGGACTGTTTGATTATTGAAGCTTGCAAACGATCAGCACTAATCAACAACCCACCCCAGCAGTCCTCCTCCCTCCCAAAGTTAATAGTAAGCTGTGCAACAACGTGACTATAGTCATCATTTTTCTTTATTTGAATTCTGTTCAAAACATCATGAAGCCAGTATTGTGAATCAAATCAAATGTGTCATTACCCCCAGTATTTATGCTTAGATCCGATACATGAAAAACAGCACCACAAATATTGCTACCGGCTAATACAAGCTACACACGGAAGTTAATAACAACAGCCACAAATTTTCATACTGATCCATCCCTCTTTAAAAATTTAACATGCATTTTATAAAACCCTGATCCAAATTAAATTCCAGCCAAGAAGGGAGGAAACAGAAGCTTGTAGTATCCATAACATTCGAGACATAAATGTCTAGTTCGAGACAAAACTTTCAGTTTAAGAAGAACATAAAATATTGTAGGGTTTCTTTTTTTTAATTCTGAAGTCTGTGCTCATCTAGGGAAACATTTTATGAAGAACAACACTGCTCAGACTACACCTTTAGCCATATTTGGACTAAGACAAGACAATCAGCAACTTTTGTAGAGAGTAATTTAAGTTGTTTGTTCATATAACCGTTCAAACATCTATCTGAACCTACCGGTACAAAATTCTGTCTGAAACACAGTCAACACAGTGGTCACAGTTAGGCATGACTCATACCCTATGAAAAAACAGAAAAGGGACAGTACTGTCCTCAATGTAAAACATTCACAAAATATCAGAACTGAACAAGAAAGATACATTCATAAAAAATCCACTTCACATTAATAGTTCAACTCTTAGAGCATCAAATAAACTAAATTTAAATTATTCCGACGTAACATTTTCAACAGCTGTAAGTGTCCACTGTGTTTGGTCAAGGTGGTAAATTAATCTACAGTGCATAATGAAAAAACAACATTAAATTGTTTATTGTTTACATGAATCACACTACAATTCTGATAATATTCACTGGTAATCCATGACAAGGAAAGACCTTTTAACAGCTCTCATCCACCTCAGAAACAGTGGTAACAAGGAAAGCACTAATCAAGTATACTGTTAAAAAAAGCCTCAGACACATTCTGATTTGGTTGCCTTGAGCAAATGCAGGCCTTCCAGTGGGCTAAGTGGAAAAACTTTGTCAGTTCACGTTAAAGCAGTCAAGGTGAGGAGTGCTGGCTGAAACTGAGTGTTTTATCTGCTGTAAGTATGGCTGTAAGTTTTCAACTATTAGTTATTCTACCTTTTAAAGGATGGCACTTTTCAAAACGCTGAAAACAGCTGTAGGTAATATTGTACCAGAAAAACACTAACGTTTTCCTCACTTTTTTGAAATAAGAGTTTGACGTAACATACAACATACTGTAACATACAGTGGTAGAGCGGAAAAGTGTCAAAATGTACTATGCCCTCTCCAATCCATACAATCCATATATGGAAACTAATCTGCAAAAACAGCCCATTTTGAATACTGATATCACAAAAAGAGACATTTTCATATATCTGTCTATTCAACCAACAGCAGTTTAGCTCTGTTCATTCACGCTGAATTTGTAAGGAGTGCTTCAGCAGCCTGGACTGCTTTTCGCACATTACAGGGCAGCCAATCAGAAGAGAAGCCGTTTACATATATAAGACTTAGAGGCACAGCCTGTATAATTCTAGGGGATAAAGAAAGGTTGGAAAATGGTCATGTAAAAATGAATTAGGACTGTTTTTGGTGCATAAAACCACACAAATGTTGGACGTATATATCTCAGGGAAAGTGCAAGATGTTTGAGCCTATTAATCTGAATTCCAGACAAAAGTCAAAGAATTACATCTGAGAATATTCGAAATGACCCACAACATTAAAATAAAACAGATCTTACATCATACAACAGCCAAAGTATCATACCAATAACACTTGGTGTCATTCTCAGATTATGTTTTTCCAAACCAAATTTAACTGAACTAACTTAAAGAGAATGGCTTAACACTGCACAACATAACAGATACAGCCAGTCAGCTTAAACTACTTTACCTGATGACCTGTGCAGAAAAAAAAGCCTAGGTCTAGTTCAGAAAAACACTCCTGCACACAGTCTAAAACAGTGAGCAACCATCTGGCCATCTTATCTCTGGCTTGCAACCTTGAGGCCTTAGAGAAACAGGGTCAACTCTGCAGCACAGCACTGGAAATTCAGCAAACAAGCTCATACAGCCTAAACTGTACTTGGAAAACAAAAATTCCAGTCCGCTAGAGTATTGTCTGTCTGCTGCATGAGGTAGAGAGGGGCGAAAAAAAACAGCCTGGCTCTAGATTTCATCCGTACCATCCCCCACATCTTGCATCAATCCACCGTCAAGCACCAGTTACATAACTGTGCCACTCCACCAGAGAACAGAGAAAGGCAGAGACTTAAGACAAAGCATTAGCTACTGAAAATAATGAAACAGCACATTAATGATTCACAAACTGTGATTAGAATTATGTTTCTCACATCAGGGTATTTTTTGTCTGCATTGTGGGTTATTCATGAGAATAAATGAATGTGTTATAAAAGGAGGATATGAATGCAAGAGTAGGTCTATATTCAGTGAGAATTGTGTTCTGAAACAGCTTTGAGGGGAGAAGAAAAAAAAAAAGCACTGAAGGTTTCTTAACAGAACAGATCTAGGCCACTGACATAACATACATAATTCCCCTCCCCCACACGGAGGCAAAAGCTACAGCCTAGCTCTTTATGCCCAAAGTAGTAACCAAATGCAGAAATGGGGTCAGAAATATACAAGAGGAAAAGACTGAGAAACGTGGTCGGGTTTGTTTGAAACCTGCTACACTGTACGACTGCCAATCTGGTGAGAATAGCTTTGACTAGGAGCTGGACTCCCCTCCCCCATAGACGCTGGAAGTAAGTTCACATCCACACTGCTGTCATGTGGATACGCCATTATTTTTCCATTAGTTTAACATTACTTCAATTGAACCTTCCTAAAGATGTGTCACTAAATAATAAATACAAATAATCTGCAACATCAGTATAAACATGGAAACAGTTGCGCTCACTCTTCAGAATTACCTCTCCAGGCGATACGAAAATGTCCCATGACCAAACAATCTAGCTAGCTATGGTATTAACTGCTAACATGCTGCTGGTTCTGAAATTGATTGGTACTAGGTGAAATGTGGAACAGTATGGATGCAATAAACAAACAAACAAATAAACAAATAAATAATTAAAGAAATAAATACCTTCACTATATTTTTCCTTATGTTATATAAGTTGAAATTAAAAATGTAAACAAACTGATGGCATTAAATATGCCTCATGTACATTAAGAAACATATGCATTATATATGTACGTGTGTGTGTGTATATATATATATATATATATATATATATATATATATATATATATACACACAGATGTATGTCACATATATAAATATATACATACATACAAACAATATACATATATATATATATATATATATATATATATATATATATATATATACATACACATATACATACATACACACACACACACACACACACACATATGAATATGTATGTATATATGTGTGTATGTATACACACACACACACACACATACACACACACACACACACACACACACACACAAAACAAACACACGTATTTACACACACCAACCACTAATATCAAGTTAGAGGAAGCAAGATAGTACTGCATTTACATACACGCACACATTCACAAACACGCACAATGTGTACACACACACACACACACACACACATTCACACTCTGTGCCCATCCCCCACTCGGTCCTATCAGCTAGCTAAGAAATCTCCTTATCAAACAATAAATGGCCGTATATCGTTATAAATACCATCGACTCATTTTTACGCACACTAGAGACGTTCTGTGACTATTATAATGAATAAAAGACAAAAAATACACTTACTTTAAATATCCGGATCAACACAAGGGGTGCCTTCTGTGCTGTGCTGCCTGTGTGGAATTTCCTCCTCCTCGACTATTTTTTAAAACAGAGCCGCAACAAAGCGTTATAAGCCTGCTTTGAAACGTCGAAGAGCGAGTTAAATTCCCAAACGAACGTCCGGTTCGGTTTACATCGGCGTAGATAGGGCTAAAAACCTTTTAAAAATATATTTAAGAGCGAATGAGGTACATTGTGGGGCTGTTTGCTAGTGGAGAAAGCCAAACGGTTCAGGACCAGCCAACGGCTTCAGACACTCAAACACTGGAGAGGTGACTTTCCAGGCGAAAATGGGGGGAGGCCTGGGCGGTTGTGCTCTGCAGCTTTGTTGAAAACCGAAGCAGTAACGCAGATATAAAAATAGAAAGCACTCGTTTATTTTACACGACGAAATACACATTTTTTTGGTACAGTTGCTACATTAAATCCAACATGTAATACACGCCACATACAAAAACAGAAGAATTTGTACTGGTTGAAGGTTAATGTATATAATTTGGAGGAAGGTGATGAGGCTGAGGAATAATTTAGTAAAAGCATCATTTTGCTAACTCTCCTTTAGCTTATTTTAGCTAAGGTGTTTGAATGTCACAAGTGGTTTCCTGTTACATTTTTCAGCTTCAGTCTTTTGATCTAGCTAATTTTAATAAAAGCTAATACTCTACATTAACATTAATGGTACAGGGATCAGTATATTTTCTAGAGTATATAAGATTATAGATCTTTGCTAATTAATGTCTCCTTGTTCCAACCATAAATGCCTTCATTTGTGGCAACTGTTGCTAGGTCACTCCGAACTTTGGTTAAATCACATTCAACCTAATGAGAAATTTCTGTGCAAGGTTTTGGCCAAATATGAATTTAGGGTATGTTATTAACTCCAAAATATATTTTGTGTGTGAAAAGTCATAAGGTTAGATCGATGCTGTCAAAAGTTGACGTGAGAAAAAGGTTAGGACCTTATAGTTACGTCTCTGTGTTTAACTAGCTGACATGGAACCAAAAGGATGTTAAACAAAGCATGTTTAGCCGCACTGCAGTCCAGTTTTTATGCGAGTTTAGTCATATGTACGTTGTTATGTTTAAGCTGAAAGCACCAACTTTTGACAGCGTCAACCTATATTGTTACACCAAGTCTAAGGAAATTTCTCTATGAGAAATTGCTATGACAACTTGTAGTAAATGGAAATGTTCCAAAGCAGATACATTGTACCGTACATACATTTCTCTTCTGAATTTAACTGGATCCTCTGAATTATGAGGTCTTATGAGTCGAAACATGAATATTGCTACATGTGAGCTACCACTGCTGCACACTGAACTGACATCACAAGATGGCTGCCTCACCAAGATACCCCACGCAGCTATTGGGTATTGTGATGAAGTTTAACAGCAAACTTACATTAATGTGTGTCATTTCAGTGCGCAGGAGTGTTAGCTTGCTTGTAGCATGTATGTAGTAATATTCGTATTGACTCCTAAACAACCTTGTAATTCAGAGAATCCAGTAACACTCGAGGAGAAAGTAGGACAAAAACACATTAGCTCTGGAACAGTTTTCCACAGGGAGATCATATCAGCTTCCATTGCTGCTGACCAGCATACCAGCATCCAAAATACAACATATGCTGGTTTTGGTGGTGACCAGCCATGCTGGTCTATGCTTGTTTTTTGTTGTTGTAATGTTATCCAATATTATCACTGTAATTTTCTATTATAGTTGTTAAAACATCTCAATATCTGTAAGTAAATACAGTAGTATACAAATATGGCAACGGATTGTGTAGTTATCTTCATATTACTTGATTACATGGACAACTTTTATGTTCTAAGGTTAGCCTTAAAGGCTAATTAGCCAGGCTAAGAGTACAGATTCACAGACAGCTTTATGTGTACTGTGAATGGAGGTGTTTACATTTTTCACATTCACTTGATTGCCAAATTCACACAACCGAGAGCTGCTAGCATGGCAGCCAAAACATTCAGCAACACACTGACAGTATTTGTTCAAATAAGTGCATTATGTAGCTGATAAATTGCAACCAAGCTGATAAATTAGCCACAGACAACATTCCCAACAGGTCTGGAGATCCTATAGGAAACATGGGATCGTCTTCAGTTTTTAAAAGAAATGTTGGCTGTTTGTGAGATGTTAGCGACTGATTAGCGTACATTACTTCTAACATTGGCTCCTTTTCAGTCTACAAAGACATCTAAATCCTCATAAGGAGACTGAAACTTTGTTATCAAAAGGCATTTTTAAGGCAAGTAATTTGTATCTAGAAGTTTGAGCCAGTAATGTAATCTGTAAATTCCACAACTGATCGTTGCACAAGCACAGAGGATTAGTGTGACTAGCTTGCGCACAGAGCTTTCTATAGACACTTCTATGATATTGAAAAAGAAGTAGAAGAGATTACATGATGTCATAATTTAGCAATTATGAACAAACACCAATGACTATGCAATGTCTTTATAAGGATTTTTTTTTTCAAAATCTGTTTAATACATTTCCATTTATTTCATCATGCACAAAGCTCATTTTATTTTTCAGGCTTAAAAAGACAATTTCCCTCATAAGCATATCTCTCAGACCACAAAAGCTCACAACACATCAGTGCATAAATAAACTTTAATAAGGTCTAATGCAGACAAAGATATTTGTTGTCTCTGATTATTATTATATGCAAAAGTAAATGAATCACTTCGCGAATGTAGTCATTCATGTAACATCCCGGAAGAGTGTTAGACCAAGATGCAGATCGGGTTCTCCTATGACTAAGAAGTGAGTGATTGAAATGACAAAAAGCTGCATCTGAAATCCTGACACACTCAGGCCGAGGCAGCCATCTGGCATTTCACACCAGGGACACAGATAGATACCACATTCAAAAGAGGAGAAAGGGAGGCAGGCAGGATGAGGAGCTCAATTGTTTGGAGCTTGGCACAAAAGACACTCCTCTGCGAGGTTTTGAAAACAAAGCCTGTGAATGATGGGTGGCAGGTCAGAGTATGAGCTTTAGTCTGAAGAAGCAGCAGGGAATTAGGGAATTAGCAGCAGAGGAGGAATCAGTACACAACACGGTGGTTAGAGCACTGCAGTGCGAATAAGATTTCCCAAAACTTCTGTATCTTGAACTACCCTGCCTGTGTTTGTGCACACACCTGTGTTTCTAAGCACAGTATTGCAGCATACACACACACACACACACACACACACACACACACACACACACTATATATATATATATGTAGCGTCGCTTTCAGAACCTCGTCTCCATTTTTTATCATTTTCCTTTTTGTTTCTTGATTCAAAAATGCGAAGGTGAAAAAGGTCACATTACATTCACTTGCATTAAAAATAAAGAATGTGTTTTCCTTCACCAGTTAACATTTTTGGATTTGGAAATGCTCCAAAATAATTTGGAGTAAAATGTATTTACATTAATTTTTATTGAAAATTAAAAAGGTTTTTAGCTTCTCCTGTAAACTTACCATTTTATACATTTTATGGACAGCCACATGGACAGATATAATGTTAAGTAATGATGGCTGGAGGGTTAAAGTAGACAAAAATTGATAACTTAAATAATATATATATATATATATATATTATATATATATATATATATATATATATATATGTGTGTCACTTTCAACATCTAATATGTGTTCTATGTTCTATTGTGTCCCAACCTTTTGGGAATTGGGGTTGTGTGTGTGTGTGTATATCTGTTGTCAGAAGGAAACCTCATATCTCCAAAATGATAACTTTACAGGAGAAGGAAAAAACCTACTTTACCTTTAATGTAAGTCAATGGAGTCATTTTCGGTCATTTCTTTTAGTTCATTCATCATGAAATTGACATACAATGTAAAGGACAACAGGTATTTTCAAATTATGTCAAAAACTGAAAAACGTCAAAAATGGAGATAGGAGGTTTTTTTCTGACAACAGTGACATATATGAAAAGAAAATACACATTTTTGATTTGAATATACTATATATATATATATATATGTATATATATATATATATATTCAATATATATTCAATATATACCCACGAAGCCCCTCTGTTATAAAAACCAAGAGCTACTGTTGTGCTATGCTTATAGAACCTTCATCCTGCTAAACGTGAGTGAGTGAGTGTGAGTGAGTTATAAGACAGGGTCTATGAGGTGCTTCACATCTAAAAATATGTATAAATGTATGTATGTATTGAACAAAACCAACCCATGATTACTGCTAGTTGCTGTTATGCTTCATGTGTCTTCTATTTTATTGTATGCACTGTTTTGGTCTGTTTCTCAGTCAGAGATCAAATAACATGTGTACATTGTCACTGTTGGAACAAACAGGAAAGGGAAAAAACAAATTTGATGTAAGTTAACATAATGAAATTTTACTTCGTGTAAATTTGGACTTTTTCTGTACAGCAACAGTCTGCACATTTACATAAATAAACACTGCTTATCTCCATATCTGTGTCTGTGCATCTGAGAGGAAGTAACACATCCCGCCTTCATTCCACTGCATTACAAGAAATGATAAACCTACGTCAACATGACATCATTCTTTGTTGGCAAAGAAATAACTAACAGGCTGTAAGCTACGAAAGCACAGGTGTTATTAGCAGCATACAGAGCTGCTCTTGAACCTGTGATCCTCATTATTATTCTGTTTTGAATGTGACACATACTTTCTAGTACCAGCATGTGATACTGGGCAAAAAATTAACAAGCTGAGGAAGTATTATAATATTAAATGTAGTACATTAAATACACTAACAAAGCATTAACCACAATCATTAAATGAACATGGTTGATGGTTTTTATCTGTCATTTTGTTTGAATGTTTAGATGCATAACCCGTCTGCTGGAATGCTGGTACAAGTCCCAGTAACGCTCTCGATAATGACACTAATTATGTCCTTCAGAATGCTCGACACTTTAATTCCTGAATGTAAAAAATAGCATTCTGAAATCCTGTCTCCATTTTTAGATAGCGTGGTGGTAATAACTGCACCCATGCCGCTTGTAACTTCCTGAGAAAAGTCGGTGAGGTGTAATGTTTTGCAGATTTTCACTGAGCACTATCAGTCAGGCCATGTGTGGTGGGGGAAGGGCAGAAGTAGAAAATCCTCTCCAGCCGCTGCTGTTTTTTCCACCGTCTGACTCAGGGCCCATGTGGTTTTGGCAGACACGGAGAGGCATTTCCTGTTGAGAGAATTTACGTAATTCACG